GGTACAACATTGTATTATATTCATATTGCAATATTGAATTTACTTTCTCTGGATATAAGCAACTTTATACTTTTGTCTCTTAGTACAGTGGGATTACAATTTTGAAACATCATTCATAACAATATGTGTACATTTATATTAAAAATGCATGTATATAAATTATAGTTATAACATACTAAATGAATAAAGAGTAAATACATAGGTTCCTATTACCTACATATCTATAAAATAGGTAATACACGTTTCTTATTATTACTAATTACCGACGATTAATTTTGATACCTATATAACGCAATAATATTACCGTATAATTATAATGGATTAAATGCATTTAGTCTTATATGTGTTACTATTTCCTTGTCCTTTTCGCATTACCTAACATTGTTCGTATAATGATTATAATATATTTTTCGACGTTTAGCTTTTAGCCTCCCTCAATTGCCTGTATATGATAAATATTATACACAAATTGGATTTGTTAATAATTATTGTTTATATCCTTTCCCCCTATAGGTATTACAATTTATTAAGTAGGTATATATGATATGTAAATATTTTATATTTCAACGATCGTTTAAGATTATGACGTTATGTGATATTACAATACAGATAATAATATAGTTTATTATTACAACTGTTATTCAACCACTATTTACCGATAATTAGGTCCTGAACTGAGCTGTCTGATGCGGATAGGATGATTGGTAGGCGGTGACTTCAGAATGTTGGTGATTTGCATTAGACTGTCGTTGTTTTCGTAGATGATGGTGAAGCTCTTCCAGTCGACAGCAATGATTATATCGATTAGTGCCTACGGATACGGAAATGCACCTTTTTTTATTCAAAGTTACTGTTGTACGTATATATATATATATATTATATATTACAGAGGACAGAGTCTGTAGGTATTTGAAGAAATATTCGGAAATTTAGTACCTATTTCTTAAACACCACATTCCCACGAATCGTCCATATACTGGCGACTGACAAGTGCAGGTATAAAAAAATATGTAGTACATTAGTACATATTTATAAAATACACGAATAGTACAAAATGGTTTACTTTGACCATTCGGGTAATTTGACGTTTATTCGAGTTTCCGAATAAATTAATCACTTATTATTAGTCGTGGGAACCCGGCTTTAGATATAGTAGGTATTTTAATAAAGTAATCACTTCGGCCAATGTGCTTGGGTGAGGATACAGATTAATTTGACAAGACCCTCGTTTCTGGTTGATATCCCATCGGGTCTGTATGTGAGGAATCTCCTTGTAATCGCAAATCGATTGCACGATGGGAGCTGTGTCTCCGGCTGACGGGCCGAACATGCCGGACACCCCCTCGGTGAGCATTTCACATACTTGCAACGATAGTAAAGGACAACAATATTATAGGTAACTGGTAAAATATAACAAATATAACACGTCACGCTTACCATGGTGCTGGGTCTCGAACGAATCGTAAAGAGGAACTATTTTGCTGATGACGTCCAACTGAACACCGCTGGCAAGCATTTTGGCCTTTGCGACGTCCACGGAAGACTTAAAGGCCGTTTCCAGCATCGAGTTTTCCTCGTTGTATAAAATCCCTGAAGATATTTTCATAATATAACCACTTTATAGTTTGTGTTTTAAAAACTCATTACAATATGTATAGCCGTATAGGTACCCGTTTTTAAAACCCTTTGGGCCATTGTGGATAACATAAACACAAATCTAACGAGGAAACTTTTAAAAGGACAATTTTTATTCATTTATATGATAAAAGTTCAAAGTTTAATGAAACATTTTACCCTGAAACGTACAGTTAAAAGAATATACTTTTTTTAAGTCAGAGTTTGTTTTGCTTAATAATTAGGTTTAGTAGGACGAATTAACCCGACGAACACGGAACAACACATATTATAGTGAAAAATAAATCATTTTACAAATGCGAATGAATTATGATAGAATAATAAAGTTTGTTAAAATTCAATTATTATTAATCCACTGTACCATTAGAAACACACTCATGCATTATATATTATTATATCGTATATGTGTAGGCTAGTTTTGAAGTTTTTAAGTGCTCTACAGTTATCTATATCATGCAGTGGTGCAATATTCTATTTGATCACTTTCATACCTATACGAAATACCAATCTAATATGTTAATCAGCCATCAGCGATATGTTTTCTCATTACTCATTAGACTAAATGAAAAACGATAGGAAAGTAATAACTAATGACTCATTTTCACTAAGCTATAATAATAATATTATGTTTTTCGTGGAATTATTTAAATTAATCGTACATGGTCATTTCGAAAAAAAAAATTTTTAAACCATTTCAGGAAACGGTTTACATCAAAATCCCCCTCCACATCTGCTTTATGCGTTCCTGGATGTATTTAGATGTATATATTGCACATGTGTAGGTATTCACATTATTCTCATACATCTATCTTAGGTTTAATTATAATATTATTACAATGTATAGTACGTATGTAATGACTTAAAAAATAAATAATATTTCGTTCTCACCCAGCGTGATCGTCGTGTCGCCGCCGCATCGTTTACCACCGGCCAAAATCAAAACGAACGGCACCAATAAACCTAAGATCACGTTCATTGTCCAAGGACAGAGAAAGTGAAAAGCGAAAAAAAATCACCACGATTAATATCGCGTCGACGGAAGTGCATACAAACTCATGAATTAAATTTTTTTCTCGACACACGTGTGCACTATAATATCGAATTTGATCCGCCGAACGATCGCACACCACTGTTACGACGATATGTACGGATCGTGTCTCCCTCCCCTCCCCCAGCGTGGCTTATGAATATTTCTGGCACGGTTTTTGATATTATTTTTAGTCCAGGATGAGGCTTGCTGCAGCGTGGACCGCGGGAGACGGACGTTTCAAGCGACGCGTTTCGTCCAAACAAAAACCGACGGTTGTTATACGTATATGTCGGAAAAAAAATTGTACCTTTCAAATATTATGATTTATAATAATAATGATATCGAAATTCGTTTGTGAGGTAAGCACTATATGTAAGCATTTGTTCCGTGGTGCATTAAAAATCGTTAAAATATGATTTCCCGATCAACATAATTATACACTATACACATTTTTATTGCGTATAACAACTAACTGATCCAGGACAAATTAAATGCCAGAAAAATTACACCTCCTTAAACCCAGTTAAACGTGAACTGCAAACGTTTTTGCATAGTTATTCGGGGTTTTTTGGTCAAATATAAAATACAGATTTGAAATGGTCCTTCTCAACATATTTCATACTTTTGTATAATTCATGTTATTGTTTTTTAATTGTGCCATTGATATCTGCCTCCCTTATTTGTTAAAACATTTTCAACTTTTGATTTTAAAATGGGTACTGATATTTAAAACTCCAGAAATATGTCAATTACCTCATGGCTCATAGTCTTAATTCCATTTCTTCGTTTGATCATTTTCTTTTGGGTTGTGTTCAATTCATACAGCTTCCAAAGAAATATAATGAAGTAAACGTAAACGATTTCAAACGAAAATCAATAGATATGACATTGTTCAAATACACTAATGAAGTAATACATTTTCAATTTCAAACAAATATTATATCAAACTTATATTAACAATATCATTTTGAGACATTTCAAACTTAGGCAATAAATAAAAAATAAAATGAATAGGATTGTTTCTGGTAGTAAATTGGATCTGGGTAGTATTCAAAATACAATACTTTTAAATGTAATCCTGAAAAACAAGAAAAAGTTATGGAAGTAAGGACATTTTCATGATACAATAATTTGTTGACAAAATGAATTTTGTTTTTTTGCTGTGTCTGAAAAATGAACTATTGTAGATTTGAAATGTCGACCAAATATACATTTTGCCAGTTGGTCTATCAACACTTTTAACAGTTACTAGAAATGAAATAATTTTCAAAATATTTGTCTTATTTTTCGTTTTAGAGAAAAAAAAACTTGAACATATAATAAAAGTAGTTCATACCCCAATTTAGAAATATAGATAATATTACTTAGTGACACACTTTTAAGTGTCAAATTTTCAAATTTTCACAAAATTTACTAAAATCACAAACCTTTAAATTTTATTTTAAAGGTACAAATTCATAAAATGTCTGATTTTAACACCAATCGGTATTTGGTTTTAGTGTGTGGTGGTAATTGCTATTTCATATTTGGTGTTAGTATTTAAAATGGGAATAAGTATTGGTATTTGATATTGGTTTGTTATTTAGATTGGAATTGATAGCTGCTTGGTTACTTTTAAAACAGTCGGTTTCAATAACTTAAATTATCACCAGTCACTAAATATCAAATTTATTCAAGTCAAATCAAACAATAAAAAATTTTAAAAACACATTTTTACTGTTTTTTTTTTATTTTGATGATAATTTTATTGGAGTATACATTACCCAGTACAAATAACATATACAATAACATTATAAATCATAATCGAGAATAACGCAGGATTTCAAAGCCTAGGTACTATATATAAGATATATTATTTATATTTATATAACATTATATAATAGGTACGCGTTACAAAATTGGAATGTATTTATTGCAATATAAACCTTTTCAATAGAAATAAATATAATTACAGAACCGTCAGTTATATTATAAGACTTTTAAAAAATAGTCAGATGTAAAATTTTAAAACTTGAATATAAAAAACATTTTTTTTTAAACAATAAAAAATTATAGGCCATATTTTAACATCGAGGGTTTTTAATAATATCAGCTATTTATATATTTATAGTTGAAACTATTGTCCGACTGTTGGTGTATTACTACTCGATTGTGCAACTTAAAGTAGGTACAATGTAATAAATGTCTATGATAAATTGCTCAAATCATAAACAAATACATTGACATACATAAAAAAAAATAATCGACTATATAATAAACATTAATACATTTGACATGTTAATGTTTAAATATTATAGTCGAGTGTAGGAATCCTGAACTTAACAAAATTTTATTGCTCATTTCCTATACTTTGTATGGTATTTAATGATCTGAAATGAAAGACAAAAATATGCAATTTATAGTTAGGTACCTTCGTATTTTTTGAGCGTTTAATTATTCCTTACCCTCTCTTCGACTGCTATTTTTCTGGACTTCCATACGAATTCGAATACGGCAACTACACAAGCTACACCCATTCCACCCATTAGCACTACAAACACGCCACCCACGTTAGCCAGGCCCAATTCATTGGCTGCGCTATTGGACTTTGAAGTGTCGTCCTATAGTAAAAGATTAAATTTAATTCTAATATAAAATTCTAACATTTAGTTTTTCATCTAATTACCCGACAAGCTCCACCACCTCTTTTTTCTTTCCACCATTTTGTTTTTAGCTTATGTAGTTTACCGATTTCCTGAAGTTTTAACACCGCTCCGCTAATCGCTGTTCTATATGGAGAATCTAACAAGAAAATACACAAAAATAAATAATTTAAATTTATACTATTTATAGACTGACATAATATGACCGGTCAATAAATACTTACTCGGGGGCATTGCTATTCCGTAACCTTTTGAATCCAAAAGTCCTCCGACTTGAGTGAGCTCGCAATTTCTCTCGATCACGTACTCAATGCTAGTGGATTCCATTAAAAAGGCATAGTTTCCTTTTCCCTTTACAACTCTTTCTACTCCTTCGTTATTAGACGCCATGAATACGCTTGGTCGTGACGATTCCATAAACGACCACATCCTTTGGTAAGTAATGAAATTTGAATCCTTAAAATTAAAAATATACATATAATCAATAAATTTCAATACGTCCACCAATTTTTGTTACAAAAAATATTACTCTGAAAAATCCAGCAGTTGAACCACCTCGAAGTGCACCGTATTTTATTTTCGTCTGTTTAGCTAAGTCTTCGGCGCTTTCGATCGGCGAGTCCATTCTTTCCACAGTTAAAAACGCCGCCAAGTTAGCAGTGTACGACGAGATCATGATTAAAGTAAAAAACCACCACATACCGGCCACTATTCTGGTGGAAACGGCCCTGCGATTAAATGGTACGATGAGTGTAAAAAATATTATAATTTGTTTATAATAATAGTTTATTTTTTATTTTTTGGACCAACGAAAAGCCGTGCAGTAATAATAAACCGATAAACACTTGTTGACTACTACTGGACAATGGACATGGGTGAATACAAAAAGAATAAGAGTAAGGTATAAAAATGCAATGATAAATGCAGTGGAGATCGGCCCTCTGAGCCACGACGAAGGAGCTAGCTGGGTACGTTTGCATGCGAACATAAAATACTTACTTAGGAGCCATATCAGATCCTTGTTGCATCAGAGAGCCGATCGTAAACCACAGTGAATTGTTCAAGGAAAACTTGTTTTCAAAAACATCTGGAGCTTCGGAGTTGCAAGGATGTGGATTTTCCCATTCGTACGGACTAAACCTAAACACAAAACATGCAAACACTACAGGAGCTATTTAATATAATATAGATTCGTGTGTATACATATATTACATTATACGTATGCATGTATCGTACGTATACGTGAGTAATAATAACGACGTGTGTTTACGGTTGCTAATCCTACCTATGCGCCAACAGCGTTGCGTCCAATACAATATAAAAATACATATGTGACGGTGCAGTATCTGTGTATATATATATATGTCAATGTATCATATACACAGGTACTCCGTTCGACGTTTTCTTACTTGGGAAGTATATCGCAGCCCTGTTGCATCAAAGACCCGAACGCAAACCACATACAGTTCATGAGGGAGAACTGATTTTCTAGGTTATCCGGATCTGGGTTACACGGATGGGGGTTGTACCATTCGTAAGGGGTGAATCTTTTGTCCATCAAAATCACATTTCACATTTTATAAATTGCACATTTATAACTATTATTATAGTTGCAGTAGGTATACATATTAAATTAATATTGACATTTTAACTTATAACATACTATTAAAATTATAAGTAGCGTAGCTAAGGGGTGGGGAGCAAATATACATTGGGCCTTCCCATCAATTGTATGACCAATATGATGATGTAGATAAAAAAACCGCTTTTACAAAAAAAATTTCCCTAGAAGAATGAAAGTTTAGATTGAGCTTGAACATAATACCTAATAATATAATATATAAGCACCTGATTTAGGCGAAATAGTTGTTTGTAATAAATGGATGTAATATGTAAATACAAAGTTGTTAAAAATGTTATTATTTTCAGTAGGCTACATTTAATATTGTATATTTGAGCATATAATATAATAAATTATAAAAGTTATCTGAAGTGCAAACTACAATATAAATTTAATTTATATAAAGTTTTTTATTCCCCCCCCCCCTCTTCAGAAATCCTGGCAACGCGACTAACTTATATTATGCATACTGTGTTCCAGTCCAAAATGGACCTCTATATATTATTCTGATGACATTAATAATAAAAATGAAAATGTACTACATGCATTATACCTGGCTAATATGTAGAGAAGAACCGATACGCCGAGGTACGCCGTGGCCATGTATATCCACACGTCCAACGACAGAGGAGACAAAAACGAAAATAGGTTCGGTGGTTGTTTTATTGGTTTCCGGTACAGAATACTTATACCTGCGATTGTTTCAAGAATAAAATTCTGATCAATAATATGTGTGTGCATTTATAGTCGAAGTCATTGCACTGCTAAGGTGTCTCCAAACATTTTTACTCAAGGGACAAATAAAAAAACTACTTTAAAGGCCAAAACCTAAATGATCGCACTTACAAATTTTTAGTTTCATAAAAATGCAATAAGCACGCCGTTGATTATAAAATGAGAGGTGTGAAGATACATTTGTGTATAGTGTATTTTAAACGTACTTAAATAATAAATTACTGTAATTATGTTGAATTTTGAATGTGAAACAATAATATGTAAATTATGATTCATAAAAAAAATATAAAAATAATAAGCGAGATATTTATATGAATATGTATTCATTTTTGGATGATTCTCAGTTAGCAAGACTGAAAAAACTTGTCGACGGGCAGAAGTTTGGAGACTCCTACAGTCCTGCTCCGGCACTACATTTTACAACGTCGTTCACGGGGTATTGAAATGCAAAAGAAAACACTTACCGAGGTTCATAAATGGCATAGTAAAATCGACGGCTTGTTCACGGTCGTAGGTAATAGTTAGATCAGCCACCACTAAATCCGCTCTCTGAAACATTTTATAGGTAATAGTGATATATAATATGTACATTATTATTTAATTTATATATTTTAATACAAAACTAATATAAGATTAATAATATTTTAATAAAATGATGATTGTTGTAGAATGTAAAATCATATATTATAACTGTGCTCAGTAAAATCGATCATTTTTAATATTCAAACAAGACAAACCTGCTGCAAAAGCTCTCCCATCATCCCGTCCCATTCCTTGGTATCCTCGTTGTAAGAGCCGTAACGGCCATCTGGCACGAGTTTCAACGTATAGTTAAAGCCCAACAATTTCGATATCTCGTATATCAAGTCGATCGCGTATCCTTCAAATTGATCGTTGCCCACTAATTTTTGACTGGATTCGCGGCGCATTGTATACGGCGAACTCTGCATAATATACAAATAATAAACGACTTATAATATTATGTATAAACTTATTATGCTCCGGTAAACTTGACGTTCTGGTGCAAGGTATAGTTATCACTTTATCAGTATATATATTATAAGCTAAGGGAGGTTTCTCGAACTCTTCATTCATTAATATAGAATTTTAAGAAATTATAACAGATTGACCTTCAATAAAAAATCTAATTATTTGTATATATATAGTTCAAACGCTTAATTAAGTTAGAAGTAATAGAGTATGGTTTCAGATTTATTTGAATTTTTTTAAGTGTAAACAATATTTAATACTATTCTATTTTAAAATTGGTTATGGTTACATTTTTTAAAGTTCCAAAATGTTTGAATAAGATTTAAATTTATGTTCAAACAGTTTTTCGTTTGGGAACAAAATCAAGTTCGAGTTCATACAAACTAAAGTTTCATCCATCCCTAATATATATCATATAGAAACACTAGCCAGGATCAAAGTGACGACCAGCGTCTTGTTGTGCAGATTGTCGACGATGCTAGAGTACGCTTCGACAAAAGACCTAGTGAAGTTTATCCCTTGACTGGAGTTCCAAGTGCCGATCTTAGACAGTCCCTCTTTGTTCACTTCAACCACATCCAATTCGAAGTCCGTCCTAAATCCTTGGTTGTCGAACTTTATGACGCCGGTCAGACCACTTATTTCTACCTACATGATGACGATGACGACAAAATAATAAAACATACAACAAACGTACATATTATTTATTACTCGATCATATTTAACACAATATTTCGTATTTTTGGCATTACTATTTTCATATAATTTATTAAACTATATCCATGGGACCATGTATCAGAAGCGTCGCAACTCAATGGTTTTATATCAATCTTTTGGCTGCTGTCCAGGTCGTGGAGTGCCCTAGCGAATAGATGGACGGCATCGTAAATTAAAGCAGTTTCCGTCTAAACAGACAAATGTTATGTAGTTAAGGTATAAATATTGCAGTACACCGTAATACGCATAATACACATTTATATACGGCCGTTCGTTTTTCTTACCGACATGACGGTGAAATTTTCTCCCTGCAACAATATAGAATCAAAAACATAACAATATGATGAATATGAATACCATATATATTAGGTATGTACTGTGTGACGTGTGCAAATAGGTTTACTTTGAATAATGTAATTTTTGGTGAACGTTTTTACTTGTGAGTAAATCAAAAAACCCATTAACTAAAGCGACAGTTTTTTGTATAGAATTGCCAACATTTGGATCAATCGTCAACCAGTATAATTACAGCCTGTTCAATGTACAGATAATATATATGGAGTGAGCCATTCAAAGTTAGAAACTTTATACTTAAGTTTTTGAAAATATTTCTTTTACATAATATTAAGTTGTTACAAAAATTATATTTTTTAAGTTTTTACTTTTTAGAATGACAACATACATTTCATATCCTGAATCAGAATATTATTTGGAGTATTTCTATCTATAAAAATCCAATTTTAGACAAGTAGTTTATTAGTTATGAGTATTTTAAAGTTCAGATAAGAGGAGTATATACAGAAATTTTGATGAGTAGGTAAGTTAATCCTTACCACTCTACGCCAGTCATCTAAACTATGAAATTTAAATAACTATAAATCACGAAATTCCAAAAGTCTAAAATTAAAAGATTATATAATATCAAAATTCTAAGTATTACAAAAAATATTCTGCTTTGCATACGAAATTAAAAATGAAAGTTGTCATAAAAAAAGTAAAAAACAGAAATGATAAAAAAAACTCTTTAGAGAAATTTTGTTTTTAACCTCTTTAAATTATGCAAAATATATTTTTCAATAACATTAATAGTTATTTTTATAAAATGAGAATCTTACATTAAATGACTCACCCAATATATACAATAATGTATAAGGTTCCTCGTACTTAGTATAGAACTACAGACAAACTGTTAAATATTTAATCGTAAAATGATTATTATTATTACTAACGAATAATGGCGAGCATTCTATTATGGAAACGGTGCATTAATGAAAGCAATTCAACGCAATTGACAGCAAAAGTACCAATACATTATAAATTGTATAAAAATAAATACATTATGCTTATACAAAAACTTTGTCAGCCTGTGATGGTGCCATATGGCAGAACTAACTGTATTATAGTATAAAATGAAAAATACTTCACAAATTATAATATGTTTCTTTTCTCAGGTTTTTTTTTTTTTTGAATACATATTGAGAATATAGCGGCTGAATAGCATAACAAGTTAAGTATTCTCGGAAAACTCTATACACTATTGTATTTTATGAATAAGTATATTTGCGAGACTCAATAACATAAAATATTATAATATAGAAATTTCCTTTGATCGATACCGATTTCAAAATTTCAAATACCTATGTGTGTTTATTTGCAACAAAAGCTGCGGATAAATTATACTTATTAGTTATTATCAATCGCTCGAATCCTATACGTATAACGTATGAATGTATACGACGAATAATATTTATATGATAATAATACTATGTGTAGAAATATTATGGACTATTGCAATAGTTTATAACTATAAATACTTTTATTTATTAAAAAATCATTTTTGCTCATTTATTATACTTTTCGTGCTTTTAAACAAACACGAGTGGGTTACACTTTACAATCCAATTCCAAACGATTTAACTTTTGGAAACACAGTTTCAAAAATATTTGTCGAATATCAAAGAAAACCCATAATAACTGTATGGTTGAGTCCTAAATATTTTCCAATGTCATCAAATTTATAATTATCTACCTACACAATTTTCAAAAACGGTTTTTCCTAAAATATTTCAGAAGCCGTATTAATTATTAATAGAGAATTCAATTTATATTCAGATACATAATAATAATTACAAATTAACTATGTATAGGTAATACTATCCGATGTAGTCGTATTATGTGAATTATGAAGTGCCTATTTATTTTTTATTTAATTTATACGGATTGTTTATGTGATTTTTATCGTGAATAATTGCTTCAAAAAATGTAAATCTTAAGTTAAACCACTTTAACAACAATCTTAAGAACTTCAAACTTGGCTCACGGGTGAATGAATACAATATAAGAACCAATCAAGTGAGAACTCGGAGACCAATTAATTTGTTATCAGCCTATTGTTCAAGGTATACAAATGTATATTGATCGATATAAGTCATTACAAGAAAAACAAAATATGTTCATTGTTCTTAATATATTACATTAAAATCGATTGGAATATACTTGATACTTATAGGGAGTAAGTTAATTCGTTTTATTTATTATTTTAACTAAAACTGCAATTAGGATATAGGTAGGTAAATATTGTTATATAGATCTAGAATTTATTGTATTATGCTTATCGATAAGCCGACAAAGCACTCGACTCACCCATTGTTTCAGCACTTTTTGCACTACTGGTGTATCGGGATTGACTAACCGGAAACCTGTGATGTTTGTACCGCCGTATTTAAATTCATCCAGATCGATCGTATGAAGGTCCTAAAAATTTGAGTTGCTCGTCATAACATGCAGGATACATTAATTTCAGAATAGATAATAATCCTTTTATCGTAAACCAGGTGTTATCTTAAGCAATTTTTACAAGGCATTTTCTAAACACTTGAGAAGATCAATATTTGTTCTCAAAATGTAAAGTTTGAAATCCCTTGTATTTTCTAAGAAATTTCTTGATTTACGATGAAAGAACCATCATGTATATTATATTATAGTCGACAGGCGATTAATCGCGGGGTAATTCACCAGCGACGTGATCAGATAGCTGTGATAGTCGCTCATCATTCCGATTTGTTGGGCTTGTTTCAGCACGTCATATATTTTTTCGGTTGAACAGTCTAGTACGACGTGCGATTCTGCCGAATTTTTTATCTGCTTCAACAGTGGCCTGCGCGTGAACAGAGTCAATCGTTTTTTTCAGTCAATATTTGATTCAATATATAATAATAATATAAACCAGTAAGTGAGCGCCGGGAGGGATGACACGCTGTTATATTTTATAACTTAATATTATATACATTTGATGACACGGAATGTAAAACAAACAACTTGTATTAAAATAAATCCAACAATTCCGCGTCCCTGCTCTAATTTATTTCATTAAAATCAAAATTATTTTTTTATGATTAAAAAATAAGCTTTGCTTATTATGAGGATATAGGGAAAAAATATTTTATAACAATTGTATTCAACTAACATTTGTATACAAGCTTTTTATAAATGACCATCGTGAATCATCATGCTATTTTGTTAGTTGTAAATCTTCTATACTGAACATAAAATTAATAAGTATCTATATTAGATAGATGTTTCTTTCTGTATAAAGTGAATTACATTGATCTACAAATTTACCAAAAAATGGCACATGTAGATCCTAGTTAGACTTAATAATATAGATATATAAATAACTAATGATCTAATATGTTTTCTAGGGATAATATCATGATAGTACTTATACTTATACTTGTAAATAATATTTATAATTATAATTTATTAGAATTGAAACAAAAAACACATAAAAAGTATCTCCTGGCGCCATACCCTTTCGTCCTAACCAGCTCACACCTAAAATACGCCACTAGTCTTTATAATGTTCACCTGTGATCTCGGCCGGAGCCCAACTGGCGGATTGTGATCGGGTAAGCCGAGAGTGCGCCGTTCCTGGCTTTCAACAGCTCTTGCAACCTCACCAGACCTTCGTTGCTCTCGTATATTATCGTGAACGACTTCCAGCCCAATTTTTTTACCAAATCCAGGTACGCCTGTATACGAAAAAAATACGTCGAAATGAATGTCGTACACGACATGAACCATACATAATATTATGTATACATGTACCATGTACAATAATAAAGATATTATATATTATAAATTATAATATATATATATATATTTATATAATATATATACGTTACCTTAGACAATACGGTCGGATGCGGATAGAGATTTACCAAGCAGCTCTCGCGCCTCAGCTTGTAGTCCCACCGCGTTTCCAAATGTGGTATTTCCATAGTGTCACAAATGGACTGGACGTGACTGGATATCTGGGCTGACTGAGGGCCAAAAACTGCGGCGACGCCGAGCCGAAGTAGACTGCACACTGCAACGGTTAGGATAAAAATTGATGATATTGAGCAAATACATTTTTTTATAATAGCTATTGGTGTATTTTATATCATTAGTAACAGGTATATAACCTCTTTTGGAAGCATGGAAACTGTCTTGAGGCGATACTTTTTCTACCTGGCCTGAGAGGTTAGACCTACTAAGTATGTGCCGATTGGCGTTGACATCGTGGATGGCGTGTTTGAACACATTTTCTTGGTTAATGTCATTTGGATGAAACAAACCCCCTGAAAATAATAATAGATAATTATTTAGTATGATTCTCAGATTATATCATATAATATGAAATACATTAAAAATTCAGATCTGTAAAATACTAAAATTATAAAAGGAATTGTAAATAATTACACCTAAACTTTACACGTAGGTATGTTTAAATATTAAGCAATAATAATATTTGCTATGCAGTTTTGTTTTTTAAGTTCATTATTGAAATTGTAAAAATATCTAAATATTAAGTTTAGATGATTGAACACAGTGATAAAAAAAATTATGAGATTATTCATATATCACCTAGATTTTTTAGCAGTAGTAATTATTGTTTTCAAGAGTGGAAGATCAGTGATCACTATATGATTAAGGGATTTTCCATGAAGTGCAAGAAGTCGTCTATTTCACAGTTAGCCAATTTTGTCCCTACGAAATTTCTCGATTTCAATTTATAAAAATCGTTTTAGTAAGTTTACACAAGTTGTGTGCTGATAAATTCAAATTGAGAAATAAATTTGTCCATTATAATAGTATACAAATCTAACTCACATATATTTTTAAAAACTTTTACTGAATAAAAGTCGATTCTACTTATAATTATTATCTCGGAGATAAGGTGTACTATCAACTATAATATAAGATAACCAACTATTCCTATTATAGGTAAACTGCGCTGTTATATAATTATATGTCTTTTTTTAAATTAATAATCTTACTAAAATAATTAAACTCATAATTAATCGTGATCACGAAAACGTGATATGCTTGTTCAGATAGACAGTAATGAGAAAATAAGTAATATTTTAAAAATAAAATCTGCAGATAATGTGTGTGAAATGTGTATAAAGTATACCTATTAATCACGTACCTAGATTAATTAACAACGAGGTGCATCAGAAAGACTTGAAGAAACATTAACGACGTTTCTCGTATTCGTAATAATACATTTGTAATTTGTATGTACCAGTACCAAACTTGAACTCATATTTTACCAAAGCTATCGAAATATATTTTAGATGTACCATGTACATGATATAGGTTATTGAAAATCTACAAATAATATTTAACGGAAGGGAAATGTGATACTTGCTAACGATTTTCAAAACAATATTATAAGATTTTCCCTATTTTTCATACTTAGAATTATTGGATAAATCAGAAATGAGGTTCATTGATGAAACATTTAAGAGTACCCCAATTTTTCATTATTAAATGTTCACAATTACAATATTAAAAATGAACACTACGAGCACTAGGTATATAATATCATATTATACATTTATACCATTATTTTTTGAAATAGCAATTCATGCTGCTATCACTGATGTGTGGCCTACAACAAAAAATAAAGGCTGCCGCTTCCATCCCGGTCAGAGTTGGTAGTGAAAAATTCAAGAACTCTGTTTATCCTCAAAATGTAAGTATCAATCCTAAGAAATAAGCATATTTTTAAAATACATTTTTGGTTTGTCATTTCTCAACCCAGATTGATTTGTATCAGCTCATCAAGACTTTCTCATAGTTTTACATATTCACTGGCCCAAAATTACGTCTAAAATTGTTACGAGCTTACAGGTGGCTAATCGTATTTAAACATGAATTTATGTTCACCCACACTCACACAACCTGCCCAAACTTTAAGCGGCCCACCGAAAGCCAACAGATCCGGTCCTGAACCCAGATGAAGTAGAAAATTCATTTGTTTTTAATCTGATATGTATGTGATGATTCAAATAATTCCGAAGGTCTAACATTTTTAACTTAATTAATTGTCATGATTAAGCCTTATTTTCTTACCGTGTAAGGACAGAATCGTCTGATTTAATATTGTGCCCAATTGATTGTTATGAAGCATTTCACTTGAAATTTATTTCTATGTTCAATTTAAGCCATTTAAAATATATTTCAATTTATTGAAGTCATAAAGAATTTGTAAATGGATGTTTATATTAAAATTATAAGTACAAGAAAATTATCAAGGAAAACACATCTCTTAAAAAATATTTATTTCTCAGTAAAAAAATGAAGCATATAAGAATATACAAATTTCGCAATTTGAGTTTATAAAAATGGTTTCATTTAAATTGCTGTCTCGTGCATAGACAAATGTAACAATTTAATTTTGCTAGATTAGGTTAACTTGAGTATTAGAACATTTTCAGAATAAAGAATAACATATAAATATTTTTGATGTGAACTTTTTTAGGCGTGGTAGAGTAATAGGATTCATGGGCACGGTCGTTCTTGCGACCAAAAAGCGTTACTCGAGTCCAATCAGATTATCGGATTTTGCTGACCGGTCACCGTTGTCCTTCTAACGCAGTAAATATGTCGTAGCCGGTGAACTGGGCGAACGGTCAGGCAGGAGAAAAAGCTTGTCTTTGTATAGTGTAGTAATGAATTAATTTGAATTGAAAATTTTATTTTTTTATTCTTCCATTACAAACTTAATAATTTACCATGATGCCTTCATGATACCATGAACCTTCTTTTCATAACCTTTTTTTTTTCTTTTTTTTTTTTTTCCTTCTGAAACCGGGAACGGGTGGGAACAATACTGCCACCCGAACCCGTATCGTTTATTCACCAAACAACATCACAAACAAGCAAAAAAGTATACATACATGGGGGCCTCTAACCACCCTAGAAATTCGGCCTTCGGCCCACAAATAAAAAACGCGCCTGCCTAACCCGCTTTCTTTTCATAACCTATGTGAAGAAGTTTCTCCGCATCCCCGAGTGCTATTACAACACATACGATTTTCTTATTTTTGTACGACGAAACAACATTATTTATACTCATGTTTTGTGTAAAATATGTATGATGAATAATATTGTAATGGACAAATTTCTCGATTTAAATTTAATCTCTTTAAAATTTGTCAAACACAACTCCTGTAGTCCTGAACTTTGAATAACTCTAGGGATACATTTCAATATTTGTGAGTTTGTGACACAACTCGCTTGCAGTCGTCTATTTTTATGTCAGTACCACCCCTACCCCACGGTTACACGTCTTATTTAGTCATACTTTTGTTTACACAATTTTATTTTTGAAATTTTTTCATACCATGTATAATCTATATTGTGTACGTGTTTAACCAAAACTATTAATAATATCAATTATTATTTTTATTATTTTTAAACAAAATGATTATACCTTGGCAGCCAAGTCTGAACTTGGTTAATTTAAACTTATATTATGTATTGTAGTATAAAACTATTACCTATAATCTTTATGGTAAATATTTTGAAGTCATAGCCAAAATCTCTAAATGTACTCAAAAATATATCTATTCTATATGTTGGTTCTCCGACATTACCCGATGGATTCATAAAATGTGTCAATGTTTTGAAAATTAGATTTTAGAATATGGGCAAAAAATTATGTAATTAAAAAAGCGTATGACAATTATTAAAAACCATAAAGGAGGGAGAAAGAATACTTCACGAGCCCCCACGACAGCCACAGTAATCTTATATAATAAAATTCATTCAAATAAAAAATATTAATATGTAAATTCTAAAAACCAGTTTTCAACTATTTCCAAAATATTAACAAATTTTTTAATCGTTGGGATAATTTCTGGGGCTAACTATTCAGGCAATGATACCACAGCTAGAAGCTTATGATTTTAATTTTTTTAAGAAAGTATAATATATGAATATCTATTACAATAACTCTTTATCCAGCCTTCTAAACTCGCTACATATTACTCCTTGTTCCTAACAACTCTTTCAACTTTCAAGTTACTGATTTACAGTTACAAGGTATGTAATCTGTTATCTTGGTTTTTCGAAACTAAAATATGTAAAATCATAGTTAAGAAGTAGGTACCTGGTCGCATGATTGATTATTTATATATACATATATATATTACATGTAATAGAAAGTTTTATGATTGTGGCTTATAACTTTAAATATTGAGAAATAGTTGTTAAACGATGTTGACCAGTCAAAATATTGATAAAATAATATAAGATTGCTAGCAAAATAAAAATACTAACAAAATTATTGTTTTCACATTTTCATATTCTGTTCTCATGAGTCACAACCGAAGGTGACTTACATTGTTCTCTACTGCTATAGTTTCATATTATAATATTTTAGTTCTAAGTTCAATCATTCAATTTTTTTTTAGCGAAGCAAGTAAAATTTTTCTTTGGTAGTTACTGGTTAGTAGTTTTCTCTTTACAATATTTCCAAATAGGTAACAATAAAAACTATATATATATATACATATATATATTTATATATATTTTTACTTAAACAACTATTATACATCGATTCGTACAAAAAAACACTTTCGAGAAAAAACACATACAATCACAATATTTGAATGATTATAATTTAAGATAAGAGCATGCAGATGTTTTGTATACAGAATATAGTATGTACCATGTGATCCATTTAAAGTAAGACATTCATTATTTCAAAAACTATTAATAATTCTGAAAATAATTCTTTAGGTTTTTAAATATTAAGTCGTTCAAAAAACTATAATTTTTACTGTGTTTATGGTTTATCATTATCATTATTTTTTTTTTTTTATATACCAACTAACAACATGCATGTTTAATTCCTTATTCCAAATCAGAGAACTTCAATACATAAAAATCGATTTTTTTTAAGAGTAATTTATGATTTATAAGTATTTAAAGTTTTGATGAGTGGAGTGGATTGTACAGGGGTACCCCGTGAAATGTTAGTTCACTACTCTAAACCTAGACTTCTAACTACTGCTACTAAACGAATTGTCCAACATTTTACTTTGACAAGTCGAAATACTCCGAATAATATTTTACTTCAGAACTTAAAATTAAAAATATAAATTCTCATTCAAAAAAGTAAAGACTTTATAAAAATATAACGTTTATCCAAAAATGTTGTTTCGAAACGACTTAAAATTATGTAAAAGAAATATTTTCAAACACTTTAGTGTTTTCTGAAATAATGAATATAACACTTTAAAGTGATAGGTACATGGTATATATTTTAAAAAAGAGTACCCATAATAATTTTATAGGTATAATATATTATAATATTATAGGTTTGCCCTTCGCTTACCGATTCTGATCGTATCGGGTAGAGCAGTTACGCGGCTCGCAAAGTGTATAATCCAAACGACGATTTTCAACTTCATATTTTCTGGTCGTGTTTGGACAGCGAGCAAGTGATTAAACACAAAATATCGTTCTACACAGCATCAAATATATATATATATATATATATATGTCTACATAAGCTCATCCACGACCACCGGACAAGTGCCCGTCGAGTGGTCCACTGAATGGCGAAAAAGAAATTCCGTTTCTCGCATCGTTCGTTTTGGCGCCCCGCAACCCACATGCGCGCCGGATCGTAATATGATCGGGTACGACCGGAGGCTGTGCGCCGAAGTCGCAGCCACCACTATGGTTTTCTTTTTCATTTTTCATCCGTTTTATTACTTTTTGAAAACGTACTCAACCCCAACCGCACTTCTGCGGCGGATGCGACGACAAGCGCATATACTTATTGTACACGCAGAACAATCACGTGACGGTTAATCATCGTTGACTTTATCTGCACATAATATAATAATAATATATAAACAGTTAACACTATAATATAGACGCATAAATATAATATTATTGTCACTCATTTATACCTAATATACCCGACCATCGACATTATTTCCTTCCGATTTTATTGTTTCCGTTCAACTCATGCGATCACAGTGCACGATTTTAGGACAAATTATATACAATTTTCCTTTTTCGAGTTACCCATACGGTTATACGTCGGTAGATTATTATTTTGTCATATCGTATACACACTATAATGCTATGTATATTGTATATGGCATAGTGTATTATTCCTACTCCTTTTATTCGCTTGCCCGAATTTAACGAATCAACACTATCATGCCCTGTACATTTTACACGGTAAAAAAATATTAATGACCCAAAGAAATGAAGTAGCCATATATGCTGTTGTGCTACCAACAGCACAACATGCCGATTTGATACGTCATGTGTCCCCTGAGCCTCGCGAGGACGCTGAATATTTGACGATATTTCTAACAAACGTATTTTAAACACCAAGCAGTTAACAACATCAACTTTTGAGCCATTGGAAAATAAAAAATAATATGATAAGTGTATGGTTTTAATGTTATGACTTATAACATACAATGGCAGGTAAATGGGCATATTATAAATTAAACAATAAGTCACACACTCACATATACATCGTCCATGTTTTAATGTATCCATCATAAATGATAATAGTTATGTGATAAAATGTTCGATAAAAATATTCACCAATGCGGACTTCAGATTTAATGAAAACATTTTTAGTTAAATTAGGCTTATTGGCTATTGTCCAGTTTAGAATCTGTACATATAAGAGTGATTCACCACCCACGATCACCCCCTTTATTTTCTTCAACATTTCAGTTATTTAAAATCCGATTTCTGGTATTTTAAAATATATTGTAAAGCCATATCATGTAAAGATATATACTTCTAGGTTTTCAAAAATAATTTTTCTGAAAATGTTGAAGTATCAGAATCAAAATTTGAACGAGTGATTTTTGAATTATTTTACTTTATATACTAAGGATAATACTATATAATATAGCCATGGTAATGGATTTGAAAGGGTGATTTAAATATACTAGAGATAATTACCTATCTATCAACGTTAATAATTTGTAGAAAAAGTCCAAGTATAATAAATACTAGTTCCAATATTACATCTTGTTTATATTTTTGTAAAATTATTTTTAATTACTACTGTAACGAAATGAAACGTTAGAATTTTGAATCTGATACGTCAAAATATTTTTAAAAAATGATCGTTCAATTAATTCACAGTAAAAAAATGAAGGTTTTTATTTAAATAACAACAAAAATACAACAATTTGAAAATATGAACTTTAAGTATACACAGACATATTTAAAAATTCCAAAAATCAGATTATTATAATTGCATTATTGAAGGAAAGGCGGAAATACATTCAGAGGTTTCACAAAACGTATGAGTAGTGAATACCTATATACTACCTAACATAGGTTTTGATTGCTGATAGAGAAAATACATCTTTGTAAAATCAATAGATACAAAGGCCGATATAAATGGGTTTCTGGGTTTGGGCTGTTAGTCGTTGTAGAATACTGGACCAAATACTCCACCCCTCTGCAGAAGGTTTATATATAATATTGTAATAGTAATAAAAAAAAATTTCCCTCTAGTCCTGTGACCCACAAGATTTATTTATTACGTGTGGACGAATAATCTTGCAGGAAAGCGCGCGATTTACGATCTGGTTTACGATCGTTTGAATTCGGAGACCAGCCTCAGAGTGTTTTCTGAAAACGAATTCGCGTTTTATTTATATGTATACATATATATATATAGGGCCCTCCTCCGGTCGGTTGCCAAGCAACTGCGCTATACCGGATTATAATCGATCCGAGTAGCTAGCTACTATTCGGTCACTCGTGTATACATAGCTGTAAAATAATACACAATTGAGGTGCTCCTAGACACACTCGCAAGTGTTTATTTGTTTATTATTGTCATTCGTTTTTGTTGTTGAAAAATACTTAATATTATTATTATATGAAGTAGGCACTAGGCAGTGACATAGCTTCAACTTGGTGGCACAAGGGCCCATTGGTGTCACGAATAATGTAGGTGGATGGGTAATTTTGTTTGGGTGTAAAAATATTTTTAAATTTAAGTTTTGAGTATCATTATTATTGAATAATAGTACCTATACCTAATATCCTAATGTGCTAATTTTAATCCAAAGTGATAAATTAGCACTAAACAATAAAGGTATTAAAATATTTAAAACATTTTAGGTAACAAAACGTGATGATCTGCAATGATGTGTACCTATAGGTATAGTAAAGGTGGTATAAATACTCTATTGTTGTCTGTAATAGGAGAACTGGGAGGATAATATTGTATTGTATTAGTAGATTATTTATTATTGAAACATATAATAACTCGTAATATTAATGTTAATTGATATTGTGAAATAATATCAATATTTAATTTATAATAAAAAAAATATACATATAGGGAGGTTTTAATTGGATGTGTATGTGTGTGTGTGTGTGTGTGTGTGTGTGTAGGTATTTTCAATATTTCTCTTGTCAAAAAAAATGTTATGTTCGTGACGCCACTGCTAAAGCCTATATAAAAACAAACAGTTGGAGGCCCTCTTAATTACATTATTAAATAGTGTAGGTTAGCTAGAAAGTCAGACGTCGAAAACTAATCAAAAATAAAAATTATAATAATAACTGTACAATTTTCTTACAACTTATACATACATAGGTATTTAAAATAATTAAAATAAGTTACTTAAAAATGATCCTTTCGAGCCTTCGTTTGATTTTGAAAAAATTAGGTATTCCTCGGTGGTTTTTTTAGTATCATAATAGAAGTTCGATAGCTCGCCAACTTGGAAATACGTTGGGGCTTGAGCCTTGAGGGCCTGGTGGCTGGTTTAAATACGCCACTGAATTACTGGAAGTGACTAATATGGATATAGGTTGCCAGGTTGGCACCAACACATATATTTCGTCGCTTTAGAACCATCATGTTGCTTATGTCTAGTACCTAATCTCAACAGTATTTTCAACTTTTCATTGGGAAGAAAAAACTGATTCGTTGTTAGAAATTTCCAAAGTAAGTAGGTACCTATCCTTCTGAACAATTAATAATACTCTAACCTTCTGTACCTTCCTAAAAATGTATTTTTACTAAAACTTCATCAGTTTTGCATATTGAAATTGCGCACTGGCTATGATAATATCTGATAGGCCACAATAACAAACGATTTTATATAGGACAAGATGTCACGATGAGCTGACACTCTGATCTTTCACAGCACCTTAACATTTCGTTTTAATTTAAAAACTAATAAGTAGGTAATAACATGGTCTAGCGCATCTTGAAAAACACGAAAATGTAATAGGTAATGATCAAAAATATTGAATAGGAATTTATTTCATAAATCTAAAATGAAGTAGGCACACACCTAATTAATTGATTTAATCAAAATACCTTCCGTCATAGACATATAAAGTTATTTCTAAGTAATAAGTATATTATATGCTCAAATTACTAGCTACAAAAACGATGTAGTCGGTGCCGAAATAGATGAAGTATTGAAAAGACATTTTTCTTAATTTTTTACTCGGGACGTTTTTCGTAAACAGACTTCGGTCTCATTAGTCCTAATTTCTTGTCTTCGTGGCCGATAAGACGTAGGTAACCATACCATTCCATCCACAACTGCCATGTGTATTATGTTGGTATATCTTCTATGATATAAACAGTAAGCACATTATAAGTTACTTTAGCCACGACCACGAATTACGAAATACCCCACATCCATTAGTCATTAGTCGTTACTCGTTAACCACAGAAAATATATTATATTAATAGTAGATACATCTTAATTCGTGGCCCACGACGTTAATTACGTCAATCGTGGTATAAGCCAACCTATCTTTTTATTCCATGAATTCCTAATTCCTAAAATTCCTAAACTGGTCCCAACTCTTATCACGACCCATGACGTAAATCATGATAGACCTTATACTAAGTAGTTAGTATAAGGTCTATGACGTAAACTCGTGGAAAATGATTCTGTATCAGTCACGGATTAAGGTATATCTTATCCGTGGCACTATCTTCTAAGACCACGGACCACAGATATATACTATTTAATTAGTATATATCTGTGCCACGGACTAAGATACTACTATCTATATCCGTGACCGTGGTCCATGGTATCAGTGTATCTGGTATCTATGCAATTAGTGATATCATATGAATATATGTGATAATAAATTATACATTCACTTTTTTATTATTATTAAATTATTTACAAATTACATTCTAAATTTCTAATATTTCATAAAATATTATGGTACCATGCCATAGTATAAAAATATTATTTGGTATGTCGTGATTCATGAAATCATGAATACTGATAAGTACTTTCTCACGTGGTCGTATGATGTCTAAATGTCTTTCATAATATATTAAATATTAATGAATAATGTTTTACTTGAAGTAGTCACTGTATAGTTATATAGTAAGCTGCTTTGCTACAGGTAAAGTATAAAGTATTACAAATTCGAAATGCATCTATAATATAATACAACCATTTATGTAAATTTAATTTAATATAATAGTTTTTGTTTGTACGTTGAGTATGGACAATAGGCATATATGTTACTAGTGTTTTTTTTCTAACCATCAATGCACCCAGACCGATTTTAA